CGCCCATGCCAGGGAACAGGCGGCAGGACGCCGGCCGTAACACCCCCGTGGCCCAACGCCATGCCGGCCCCTTGCCCGCCCCGGCAGCGCAGGTCTCGGGGAAGGTGTGTGGGAAGTTCAGGAGGTTAGGATGGAAGCTCAGCTCAGCATTTCAGTCACGGAAGATCAAACCAGGCCACCTTACAAACATGGCTACATCTACTGCTCTTCTCCTGTAGAAACCCAACACCCTCAGTAAAATAAAACACAACTTACAGCAGTCCAAATCCCCAAAGAAATGTTCCCAACACAAAACTTAAAATAGACTAAAAATGTTGAAGTCTTATGACAGATAAAACTCATAATTTCATTTTTTTCATTTTTTGTTTTCACAGGGAGAGGGGAAAAGACGAAGTGCAAATGAAAGCCACAACCAACTTCAGCTACTCTAGAAACGACAGCAACTGCACCAGCGATAACAGAATCAGTCAAGTCATTTTTCCTTTGCTTTATACAATTCTGTTCCTAGTGGGTATCACCATGAATGGCCTGGCAATGTGGGTCTTTTTTAAAATATCCAGTAAATCCAATTTCATCATCTTCCTCAAGAACACTGTCATTTCTGACTTCCTCATGATCTTGACTTTTCCATTTAAAATCCTTAGCGATGCAAAGTTGGTATCATGGGTACTGAGAGGATTTGTGTGCCAGGTCACCCAGGTTGTATTTTACTTCACCATGTACATTAGCATTTTGTTTCTTGGTCTAATAACTATCGATCGCTATCAGAAAGCCACTTCACCGTTCAGAACATCAACATCAAGGAGCCTTTTAGGTACCAAGATCCTGTCCACAGCAATTTGGCTATCAATGTTTGCTCTTTCATTACCCAACATGATTCTAACAAACAAGAAGAAAACACCTAAGAACGTAAAAAAGTGTGCTCTCTTGAAATCTGAGTTTGGCTTAGTCTGGCACGAAATCGTAAACTATATTTGTCAACTCATCTTCTGGGTTAATTTAGCAGTCATAGTTGTATGCTACATACTCATAACTAAAGAATTGTACAAATCCTATAAAAGGACAAGATGCACAGGAAAGGCATCCAAAAAGACTGTAAATCTGAAGGTTTTCATCATTATCGCAGTGTTCTTTATTTGTTTTGTGCCATTCCACTTTACTAGAATCCCCTACACGTTGAGCCAAACAAGAGACGTTTTTGAATGCTCTGCTCAGAACACCTTGTTTTACTTGAAAGAGAGCACGCTGTGGCTGACATCGCTAAATGCTTGCCTAGATCCATTCATATACTTTTTTCTTTGCAAATCATTTAGGAAGTCCTTGCTAGACATGCTGTGCAAACACATAGCATCATCAGAACTCAGGGCCCAGATGAAGGAGCAGAACGAAGGAGATGACAACACAGACGAGACGCCGCTCTAGAGCCAAGAACTACCCATACCCCTTCTTGGCCACAGACATTTATTGGTGGGTGGAAGCAGCACAAATCCTGCAAAAAACATCTAAGATTTTCACCACCTTCTTTAGAAATTGTCCTACAGATGAAGCACAAGCACCCCAGAACCAACATCGCTGGTTGCACAAATGGCGAAACTAGAAAGCTTGAATAAAACAAGAGCACCACCTGATCACAACCTCCATGCTTGTCAGAATTGCTAGGAAGATGTCTGAACTTACAGTTGGAGCTGTAACGAAAAAATTAAAACGGAGCCATGAAGTGGTACAGATGAGATTATGAACTCCAAAGATTTTGCAGAAATAGCTTAACTTGGGCCAGAGCAAAGCCCATGACAACAAAAGATCTGGGAAATGCAAATAAAATCCACAGTAAATGTCATTTTTAAATATAGGGATTTGTCACCTTGTACGCAACTGGCAGACAAACAGAAATATAGGACATATGCAGATAAGCTATTTACCTGTGCAGATTTTCGGTAACAGAATAACATTTTCCTTATCTCATTATATGCTCGCAATTCTTAATCCATTGACCAATAACTAATATTTCTATGTCAGAGGAAATTATTTCATAATCAGGCTTATCTTGATGTGAGTTAAATCTTCAAATACTTCACCTTACTATATGAATAAACAAAAATGCACACTTGTATATAGAACAGTATATTATATTAGAAAATATACAGGCTCAATTTAGAGAATACTCAGATCTTGGGGAAAGAAAGATTCATGGTAAAATCTTTACTGATTATTAGGGGCAGCTTTTCTACGCTATATAAAAAAAATTAACCAATTCCCCTTTTTCATTTGGAAAAGAGGGAAAAAAAACCCAGGGAAGTATTTTCAGGTGCATAACACTTTCAGGTATCCTAACAACCACACATGAAAAAGATCCTAGGCTATTGTAATAAATTATGGTTCATTTATCATCACTGCAGAACAGCTCCAATTCAGAAATAGCATCATGCAAGAGCCATTGCTTGTCTACCCTTCTCTGGCACCTATCTGTGCCTGGCAGGGCACAGGGTGGTTTTACGACCGATACCCAATTTCCTAAGAAGCCAAAAGACAGTTCACTTACTTTAGCATTCAGCCTTAGAGTTTATGCATCTCTTATAACCTGCCTGGATGAATTAAATATTTGAAAAAAATGTTTCATGCACTGCTTATGCTGGTATATGCACCAACACCGATTACAATTGGTAACTGGGTTACACTGCAGAAAACAGGGCATTTATTTATTTCCCTGGAGCCAGCGCTGCCGGTCCCTCCAGAGCGCGCTCTCCACAACCAGCCCCACGGGACCCAGGACCGATCAGCTCCAGCTGATGCCCAGAAGGAAGCAGGAGGTGCCCCACTTCCACCCAACACTCATGCCCCACATCTGTTGTATTACACAGAGAGAGAGCAGCAATCATTTGGCAGCTGCTTTTCCTGATCAGATGAGCAGTTCAGAGAACAGATACCACAGCTACCTGTGTACCATACAGCAGTCACCCACAGGATACGCGGAGGCACTCAGCACCTGCCTCTCGCAGCCGGGAACAGTGTCAGGAGGCCAGTTTGGAAGAAAACGTGGAAGACGCTGCCTTAGACGTCAGTCCTGGGGTACCGCAATGGACCGTCTCAGCTTTAGATAGTCCTTAATGAATGAACAGAAGTCAGGTCGGGCAGCTAGGGACATGTCACACTGATGGCAATGGCGAGGGTGACCTTCATCCCAGTCATCCTCAAGGCTCTTGGCTCTCTGCCAGCCATTTAACACTGACATCAGTACGCACAGCTACATTAACCAAAACACAGATGCTAATATTCACAAACTTACTGTCAATACAGCTGCAGCCTGAGAACCTCAAAAAGCAATCCAGGCCTGCCCACGAAGGGATGGCTTGAACAGGAGCCATTTCCCACATGGCAGCAAGCAAGGAGCCAGAACCCTAAGTTGCGTCAGTTGACAAGAAAATACAAGACAAATCACATGACTCAGTTAAACTTACACAAAAAGTTCTGTTTACAGAGAAATGCACTAGATTCCAACATTATACACAATAAACACATAAAAAACACAAAGCATGCCATGCAGTGGCAGCAGCTTCTGCCTGAACCAGAAAGTGGCTGTAACCAGCACGCTGTACCATCTAGCTACACAGACGCCAAAATAAACCAGAAATCCCATTCTGGAGATCAAAAGTCAAGCTCAGGTTCATGTGTCAATATTAACAGGCTACAGAGGGAGGGCACAGTTCCTGAATATGTCAGTGCACGGGATTTTGTAGCTGAGTAGCCCATTGTAAGGGTGGCTCTGAGCAGAATTTCAGGTCATGCGTTTGACGACGACTAGTGCTGACCAGAACAGGGGAATTCACACACCCAAACAAGAGCTACATTTGAGGATCATCCTGGAAAACTGTCAGGAAACACTCTGTGTTTGTTCATCCCATGTCTGTAAAGGGGCCAAATCACAATGGCACAGTGTAGGTGCCATCAGGTCTGCCCCACACAAACAAAAAGCCAGAAAATGTGCCTGTCTTGATGGGTATGGTAATTTTTTTCTTTATTAGTATAGAAGGTAGCGTATTCTCTGACAGAGAACAAAAGGAAGAAGGAAAAGCAACCGCAAACATGATTAACGAACTCGGGTGACACATGAAAATGAGGAAGGAAACAACACACCACACCAGCAGAAAAAGTCTCAACTTTTTACACATTTCCCCATTCTTAATACTTTGCTCGAAGCTGCTGTCTGCAGAGGAATAGCGGATGAACCGGAGATAGCCAAAGACCCCTCTCTGAAACAGCTGCTGCCAGGTTTGCTCAGGTACTTGCACGATTGGAACGTTCACATGGTGTGATGGGGCACTCGGTCATCTGGCTTCCAGATGTAAGAGGCTGATAACCAGCCGTGTGCATCTTACCTCTAAAATGTTATTTAAATCTGTGCTGAGAAAGGAAAAATGGTGTGTGCATCGTAAGTCGCTTCCCCAGAAGCACTGTGCTTTTGGGCCACAACCATAAAATTTCTGTTCAATGTTCAAATACATTTCCATGTAAAGACAAATGGTGGTCTAGGCAATCTGCTGTTGTACCTTGCTATTATATTATCTTAGGCCTCCAAATGAATATGTACCATTTTAACTTTTCATTAGACATGACTTTGTAAACAACTTAAACTTAGGCAAAGATTTAGATTTTCTATGAGCTAGAAGAGAAATCAGTCAGTCTACTCAATGCATGTTCAAGTTTTGTGTTTATTTGTGTAAACCTGCCAGTCACTGTAAGGAACATGTCATTTTAAATACAGAATATTATGTTTTCTCTTTTCTCTCTCCTTTTCACCCAAGTTTGTCTCAAACAATGGGAGACTTTGCAAACGAGAGTACTGTCAGTAACTCCAGTGGAGCACCGTCATCCGCACCGTGCCACCGAGACACCACAGTCACCCACCTAGTCTTCCCACTGCTGTATACACTCATCTTCCTTCTGGGCATCGTACTGAACAGCCTGGCTTTTTGGGCTTTCTTCCATATTCCAAGCACATCAACTTTCATTATCTACCTGAAAAATATCTTAGTTTCTGATTTCATAATGACCCTGATGCTTCCTCTGAAAATCCTGACGGACTCTGGCCTCGGACCGTGGCAACTCAAAGCCTTTGTCTGTCGCTTCTCAGCCGTAGTATTTTATAACACCATGTATATTAGCATAGTGCTACTTGGTCTCATTGCTTTTGACAGATTTCTCAAGATTGTGAGACCTTTTGGGAAGTTCTGGGTGCAAAACCTAACCTCAGCAAAGATCCTTGCGGGTCTGGTCTGGCTCTTTTTCTTTGTTCTCTCTCTGCCTAACATGATCTTATCGAACAAGAAAGCAACGCCCCAATCCGTGAAGAAATGTGCCTCGTTGAAGAATTACTTTGGACTCAAATGGCACGAAGCTGTCAACTATATCTGTCAGTTTGTCTTCTGGACCGTTCTCATTCTCATGTTTCTATTTTATATAATTATTGCCAAAAAGGTATATGAGTCTTACATAAAAACACAAAAGAAAGACAAGAAAAGTGAACAAAGGATTAAGGGGAAAGTATTCATAATTTTTACTGTGTTTTTCTTATGCTTTGCCCCGTTTCATTTTAGCAGGGTTCCCTATACTCTGAGCCAAACGACCACCCGAATGGACTGTCGTCTGCAGAACCAGCTCTTTGTTGCAAAAGAAAGCCCTCTGTGGCTGCCTGCCACAAACGTCTGCATGGACCCCCTGATATACATGTTCTTGTGCAAACCATTTGTAGAAAAAGTGTTGTGCAGGAGAGTAAAGACATTGCCAAAAACAATTCATACAAACCCAAAAACCGAACTGGACACAAGAACGTCTGCTACCGAATCTTGATTCCGCAGTTTCATGCTCTACAGTCTCTGCCTATTCATAAAGGAGTTAAAAAATAATTTGGTTTACTTCTGTTGTAGAAAATGAAAGGGCGGTTGTACTGTAATATTAATACTTAATAAAAATGGCAAAATGGATTTCCCTATTTATGCTCACTGCTTAGCCTTAATGGGTAAAAAGCTGTCACCCAAGCTGCCAGCCCTGCTCTAACACCGATCCTCCCCCTGAGCTGTGCCCTCTCGTTGTCACCACCACCACTACTCAAAGCCGTGGAAGCCCAGCCGAGTCGTGGCGGTGCCTGCCCAGCCCCAGCACTGCTGCGTTCACACCGCAGAGAGCGGGGTTACCTCCGAGTCACTCAGGCGACTTCACAGCCATAACCACATCGGTCTGAACAGAAAAACAGCATCGGTGATGCATAAAACTAACAATGATCAGTCTGTAGTCTCGCGTTGCTCTGCTGGCTCTGCAAAGCGAACGAGAACAGAGGTTTTTCTGATTCGGTCACTAAATCACGGCCACCTCACAGAATACAGACAAACAATAGCCTATGTATTAAAATAACTTTGTATAACTTAGAA